ACTCACACAGAAACTCAGAAGAAGCTCTTTTTCAGAAAGATTACTACAAAGGAAACACATCTAAAAAAATGTAACATTTAACTAAAAACAGTGAGTAAATTTTAAGAATAACATCTTAAATTCACTTAGAAAAAAATCAAAAGTTCACTTACACACAATGCTGCCAACCAGAACATAAAACAACGCAGTATAATAAATCACCAGGGAATCAGGGGTCATTTAGCTAACTCCCCAAAGCTTCTGATAGGACACCAGGAAATAAAATCATGGATCCTTGAGTAACATGTCACTGGAAATAATGACAGCATGTACAATTCTAAGGCATCAGGCTAAAGCTTTTCTACAAAGCCACTATTTCTGTGGCTTAATTTTGAGGGGGAAAAAAAAGGTCTAGACGAGAAAAGAGACAATCAGTGAATTCATCTCCAATAGCAAAGTTTCTTTAGGAAAAGAGAAAAGTTAGAAAACCGAGGCTCTGTTTCTATGCAAGTACCAATACAAAACTTATTTCTCAAGTCCTAATATATTTCTTTAAACAACAATGTTCAAAATACATATGGTGTATAAGGTGAGAAAGAGAGGGGACTGGTAGGGGAATTCTAAGAAAATATGAATCATCTCAGAGCTAGCTTTTCTGTTAAGATTATGAGTACTAATGCTGATAATAAAAGCTCTCTTGAGAGCTTTTACTTGGTTTCCTTTTGCATTATAAATCTCTTAATTTTCATATTTTTTTCTAAATAATAGATTTACAAGAAAAATATCATATTATTTCATTAAGATAAATATTGGCAGTATTTTCTGTAATGCTCCAGCAAGCAAACAAAATCAGCAGTAAAAATGAATGGTGATTTAATAAATCAATCATTGATTATAATGTGAGAAGATTATATGGTTACATACAGAAAAGGGATTTCTGAATGGAGATTAAATACCTATATTTAAATAGAAGATAGTTTTTTTCTGCTAATGCAGGAAAAATATCCACCCACATAAATAAGTTAAAAATGGCTGCTTCCAGTGCCATTAATATTTCATTCAAAATATTCAAGCAGATGCTTGCGAAGTAAAGAGTATGGCAAAAGTTTGTCACATACCTACATTATTATTCCCAGGTGTACACTTTGGGCCTGACCCTGTAATGTGTTTGAATTCTGTATACGAATCATAGAAAATCTGAACAGACCAACATTACATTTGGCTTCGATTAAAATTACAGGTACAAGTGTTTTCATGTCAGTACTAAAAGCAATATTCTGAACGCTTATGCAACATCAGTTTCAAATATCCTTTTACAGAAAATGCTCATTAACGATAACCTCACATCATTACAAAAGCTGCTCTAACACTTAATAGCTAGGTGTTATTTCTAAATAATGTGGTACATTATTACATTATTTCAAGTCATTATGAAGTGAGGTGGAGGTGCAAACTGAAGCCTCACCTTTGCACATTTAACTCACTTCAATTATTTCTGGCATCTCAGCAGATTTAGCACCATTTCTGTCCTTATCAGATAACCCCACTGTACCAAGTAAAAGGGATTCTTCTCTGTCACTGGCTTAGACTGACCACCTGCGCCCTTATTCCAGATCATGTTAGTTTCACCTGTGGGCACTCTCCTTTTTCCATGCCTGTACTGGGCCACTTACAACCATGGGCTTTCCAGCACAATCCCATGGGAATACTTAGCACTCTATTCAAAGATCATTACAAAATTTTCCAGAAAGTTTAGGTTCAAGTCAAATTTGATTAAGATAATCTTTGGGTCAGGCATAAATAAGGACAATATTTAAGCTGCAAAAGGCAGATTAGATTTCTTGATAGATACGAGTGCACTGCCAAACCGAAGTCACATAAATAGTCCAAAATGTTTATACATTTTGGCTTTTTAACTTATGCACCTAATCATATGTCTGTAACTTATAAAATGGATATGACTAAGCACATTTATCTTATTTTAGTAACATATTAATACTTGCCCCAATAGAGAAATCTTCAGCTTTCTTTTGTCTAAATCATGACAATGCTAGCTAAAGTCATCCTAACAATGCTCTTGACAGAAATACTTTGCTGCCAATTTACATAACTTCATTTTAAAAGGTCATATCAGGACAAATCTTGGATATAAACTTGTTACCTATAATAGGGTTAGCCACTATTGTTTAATCTGTAACTGAAGTTTAAATGATAAATATCTTGAAACAGCAGAGTACTACTCCAGTATACTGTAGTATATCAGAGTATAATGTATAAAAAAGTAAAAGTGAATATATCTTCAGGCAGAGGACAAAAAAACTCTTATCTAGAATTCAGAACAAATAAACAAATAATTTATGACATTATCACATAATATCTAGGTAGTTATTTTTTTTCTAGGCCGTTGTTATTTTTCAATTATCTACAGTAGCTGTTTCATAAGTTTAAATTTCATAAGATCTAGCCACATCATATTAAAGATATTCCAAGTATTTCTGTCACTAATATGGAAATTATAAAATAACAGAGATTACCACAACACAAACCAGACCAGAAATCACCACCACATTCTCAATCACACGTCTACCCGAGGTTAACAAGCAGGGCAGTGGCCGGTGATTCCCACACCACACCCACACTCGGTGCCTCTCGGGCATCTCTGCAGAGGCGAAGCAGGATCGACCTCCGGTTGGTCTCTCAAGCAGTGTGCTCTTCAGACAGTTTTCAAAGTTTGAGGGAAAAAAAGGGTTTCTCATTAAAGAGTCACAGTGAGTCTTTAGAAGGTCACTGTGACTAACATAAAAACACTCATATTCTTTACTGAGAACTTTAAAAGAAAAGGGATAGAAAATGTGATAGTTTCGCCTCAGAATAGCTCAAATTTTGACAATTTACTCATCTTTGTGCCTGTGAATCACATTTTGAAAACTAATCATAAAAATACATTATTTCTCCGAAACAAAGAAGGAAAATTCATTAGATTTATAGTACCTGGGAAGACAAATTGATAAAGATGGTTCCCTGCACTTGCTGGAAAGTGAAAGAAAAAAAAAAGTATTCTGTACTCTTAAAATGTGTACTTCATCAAAAATAGGAAACATTAACCAAGTTGAAGGTATCTCATGAAAATATCTTGCTATCATCAATTCTTGTGTTAGGAGGACAGTTCTTTTCAAATCTAGAGGAACTATAATGGAAATCTTCAAATCACAAGATAACAGGCAGTTTTCCCTAAGAGTGGCATTCTTGGATATGCACAAGCACACATACTGGTCAAGGATACAGTATACATGGAAAAGTTTCCAGAGCTTAGAGAGAAAAGTTTACATTTTTAGGCAATTATTAATTGCTCTTTGAACACAGAAGGAACAAGGCTTATCAGTAAACATACGGCAGTTAATATGAGTAAGGTGGAGAAATCAATCAAGATGGCAGCTACCTATGGTATTCAAATTAAATCTTTTCATTTCTAAGAACATCTAATGAATCAATATTTATTTATTTTTTTCCATTTATTTTTATTAATTGGAGGCTAATTACTTTACAAGATTGTAGTGGTTTTTGTCATATATTGACATAAATCAGCCATGGATCCACATGCGTTCCACATCCCGATCCCCTCTCCCACCTCCCTCTCTACCCGATCCCTCTGGGTCTTCCCAGTGCACCAGGCCCAAGTACTTGTCTCATGCATCCAACCTGGGCTGGTGATCTGTTTCACCCTAGATAATATACATGTTTCGATGCTGTTCTCTTGAAACATCCCACCCTCGCCTTCTCACACAGAGTCCAAAAGTCTGTTCTATACATCTGTGTCTCTTTTTCTGTTTTGCATATAGGGTTATCGTTACCATCTTTCTAAATTCCATATATATGTGTTAGTATACTGTAATGGTCTTTATCTTTCTGGCTTACTTCACTCTGTATAATGGGCTCCAGTTTCATCCATCTCATTAGAACTGATTCAAATGAATT